CAATACCTCTAATTGCTGCAGGGGTGACAAACTTCACAAACACCGAAACAACCTTCAAGAGGCCCACCGCTAGCAGTCGAATGCCACAAAAGTGACCAAACACCCGAAACAAGGACACTTTTTGGTTATTTTTGAGAGCATTTGCCTGGAAAGATTAAATAAATGTACATTCATGTGAGCAAAAATACATTAGTAACGATTGTTTATTTCAAAGAAATGTGCATCATTTACATGTACGCAAAAATTCAATAACTCTAAACCCACTCAACTGATTACGAATTAAACCTGTTACTTCATTTTCAAGCATTTACCTTTTCCTTTAGAAAAACCTCTTTGAACCGTTTGAAGTTTTCCTGTGAAGTATGTCTTTCTGGCAGTGAGCCAAGATCTTTGCGTTCCAGAGACCGTTTGTTTCCGAGACGGAGGAATTTGGTCAACCATCCAAGGGTGACTTGAGACAGCACACTGACGTCATCGTGGACGTAGTACAGGTCACCTGGAATGGAGTCTGAGGTAGGTGTTGGGCGGTAGGATAGATTTCTGCAAGGCACCTGAAAGTAAAGGAAAGGCAAATTGAACAAGGACAAACTATTCTGGGTGAGGACAGAATCTATTACAAAGTCTGCCACTTTAACTGTTTAAATGCAGACGGATTTTGCCTAATTCAACCAGAGAAGGTTGCATTTTCAGCAGCAGAGGCAGATGATTTAGTTTGTCCCAATTACAATGTTGTTAACAAGCTACACGTAATACTGCTCCAATCACCAACTTGTAAATGTTTTGGCCCAAATTAGATTACAGTTTAAATAGATTTCTACCATGGCATAAAGCCTAACCTTACCCAACACAGCAAAATGCAACAGATGCACAGATCTGCTGGACCGTATCTTATCCTAATGGGGATAACAACCAAGGACAGCAAAACTGCCAATTCTCAGCTCAATGGAGTTTTACTATAGCCCCAGTGAACAATGTCACTGTTGGATCCTGTGTGGAACTCAGGGGCCACGTAGACTTTGGGCACAATGGGCAGTTTAGCCACTTTATCTTGTCACCACGAATGAGCGTCTCACTTTGAAAACTGTTGGAAATTGTAGCCTCAGGCTTAAGGTTATTTGAATTTTGAATAACTTTATAAGTTCTATGGAATAATGACTACATCAGATTTATCCTATAGCAATCATTAGACACTTTTTATGAAGCATTCTAAATCGATTCAGATTTGGTCGACCCAAAAATATTACATGTGCAACATGAAAGCAACAGAAAACTGTCAAAACTGCATTCTTTTACAGTCACTGTTCTAACAATGAAAAGGGGCTCAAATTTTTTTTGAGATTAGAACTTTAAAATTCTTAGCTGATCCTAGTTTGCCCCATAATAAACCAAACATGATGAAACCATATCTTAAAAATGTTCTGCACGTGAGCAAATGAACAGACACAACACTTGTACACTTTATAGAGCGCTATGGGTTAAAATGTACACTTTGGACCCTATTGTTATCTGCCTGGTGTAACAAACACTTAACCTGAATGCTCAACAACGACAATACAACCAAATTTGGAAGGGTGAAGTTTATTACACTTGACCTAGAATGTAATGAAAACCACTGCATCCCAACTGGGGAAAAACCAAGGGGCAGAACAATATGTTTGGATGGAACTTCACCAAACAAGTGGCCCGTTTCAATTAAATATATACATGTAGGTCGCAACTGATACAAAAACATTTCCATTTTGTAAACAAGGGGCTCAGCATATACATGTACAGAAATATACTCTGGCTCAAAAAAAGTATGACTGAGTGTTTTTACTTAGGACACAGTGCAGTCACGGCGGCAGGGTAAGGGTGAAATATCTTAGGGGCACAACTGTACATGAGGGCATCCATAGCTAATTCTATGGTTCTCATCTATTTTACTGACCTTGGAGGAGGGTCAATCTGTCAGGAAAATGATCGGAAAAACATTACTTGCTTTTCCTGCACAGTCTTAAAATTATCATCTTCTTCTTGGTGGAAAATTCCAGACAGGGTTGGCAACATAAAAAATCATTTTCTTCGGTTAAAGCCCAAAATAAGATTTGGTCTGAAATGAGGACCACAGAATTGTCTATGGATACCTCACCCCCAGAACTGTGCAGTATGGACACCCCAAGGGGAGGGGGGCACATGCCTGCCTCATAGTTAAGTTATTTTCAATGGCAGATTTAGGAGGCACACCAAGTTGCCACCCCTCTCAACTGCCTGCACGACAATGGATTTTAAATTGGCTGTGCTACATGTACATCATGACTTTCGGCTACGCACTGCACGCTGGCATTTGACCCTCCAAATTTGCACCCCCCCTTTGAAGATACTGGATCCGCCCTCCACTTTGGTAGTGCACTGTCAAAGCTTTTCTAGAGAGCGCAAACTTTTTGGGGGAAGGGAACGACCCTGAGTGGCCCCCTGGATCTGCCTCCAGCCTCGGCATTGTCTACTTGCAATACTAGTATATGTAAACTGAAACAAACAAATTAACCCCGGACTGCCAACACAAAAAACTCATCAAATTTCAACTACTTGAGCATACACACCAATGTTTTCAGTACAAGTAGATCAAGAATGATGAAAACAACGTAGGCAGCAAGTAAGCACAAACTCAAGTCAAATCGCAAAACTTCAACACTTCCGTGACCGAGCTGAATCAGACACCACAATGTTGCAGCCTGAATGGCGAAGCACGTAATCCAATAAAAAATAGACAGGAGAGACATATGGAACTTCCGCCATCTCTCCATTGAGTTGTAGTAAACTGCTGCGGTGAAAGTTGCGAGCAAGGCGCACAGGCTGGGCAAGTATAGGTACGGCTGGGTCGGGAATACTTGAGGCCGAGTCGAATCGGTCAAGACACCCTCTCCGATCGCACAGGAAAGGATAAATAAGAGAAATGCTAAGATTAACCACCGAAGCACGTTTCCTGGACATCGTTGTGGGTTGCTTGTTCGACTGGACTGAGCATTCAAACGACAGGTAAAGATGACAAGCAAAACGACAAAAAGTAGAAGAAACACCGAGTGTAGTGCTGTCCCCACTGCGCTGACAACGCACAGCCAGGGGCCGTTGTCGTCCTCATGCCCCTCAACGCTATTCCTACCGTCGTCGGGATCATCAAGAGAGACATTTGTCGGTAGTTTGAGAACACCGCAGAACCAGCTGAAGTCGTCTTTTACGGTCCCTAGTGCCATTTATGTTAATGAGCGGTAGTCTCATCAGGAAAACTTAAATTCTGAAACAGATCCGTGCATTAAAGCTCACAACCACCACGAGCAGTGCGCCGGCCACCAGATGCTCACTGATATTGATAGAGATATATCACCTGACAGCTGAATTACAGCGCCCCCTATCAGCGCCCCCAGAGCAGAGATTAATGGCCTGCAGTAATCGATTGTTCAATAATATTATATTAAAAATGTTGGGCGGTATCGGTACTCTTGTATCGATCTTATCGCACAGTTTGTCGATAATTCCACCCCTCGCGTAATTGCCTTTTCTTTATAGTCCGTGGTTGTGAAAGATTGTTTTAAAAAAAGAAAGACAAGTTTTTTCAATGCAGGATCAACCTATGGCGGAGAGCGATCGGGTGCCTCGTGCAGCAATGATCGCGTTCACCTCCACGGTCCAACAAAGGCATAAGTGAAAGGGGGGGTAGGCCCTATACGGGGTACTTCCCCAGCTCCATAAACTGAAAAATAGTTAGTCTGGCAGTTTTTACTTTACTTTACCTTTTACTTTTCTAGATTAAGCTAAATAAAAACGATGTCAACATTTTGTACCAAAATTAAGTAAAGTCTGCTTACTTTTGTAGATGTTCGTCATTATTTTTTTATATCAATGCACATTTCCCTCAATTTCTGTTTTATCCTTGTAGAAATATGTGTCTCATTCCTTCCCTTCTCAAAATATCTCCCATTTTATTTCTTTTGATTACTAGATTACTAGAAGTTTGTGGGGATGAAATCACGAAAGTAATAATGCATCTTTTGTGTTAGGTGGCGCATAGTAAAAGTAACTTACCAGTCAAGTCCCTGTGGCCTAATGGAGAAGGCGTCGGTCTCCTAAACCGAAGACTGCGGGTTCAAGTCCCGCCAGGGATAAGAATTGTTCGAAACGTCTTTTTTTACTAAACCAAAAACTGAATTGAATGTGAGTAGTTTAGCGGCTTAACAAGACTCTGAGAGACCTTACGAAAATTGCCTATAAAAATGGGGTTTTAAGCGGCTTTGTCGAGAGTTCAATTTTTTACATATAGCGTGTTCCGGAGCTTGGTTTGAATCTCGTGTTAATCCAGTTTGCAGTACGGTGTGGTTATTTGGTTTGGTTTGTTTTCTCTCGATTTAACCAGAATTTAGTTGAAGATACAGACGCAGAAACACTGTGGGTGGAATTTCCAGTTTCGTGAGAAGGACCGCGTATGGTTTAGGAATTCCCATGAGGCAGGTCTGGCTGCCGCATTTCAGTTTATATTCATACGCAGATCCAAGGGGCGGTGGGGGACAAAGGCCTACCCTTGCATTTGAAAGCTGAGAGGATAGGCCACATGATCGACCTCCTTGCCCACTTTTCTCTGAACAAAAATTTAATGTCAATTAAAGGCTGGTTCATACTTCAGGCGAATGCAAAAACGAAGCAATTTTGACGTCAGGAAAAATCTGCCTGAGTTGAAATTTGTTCAACTTTTGCGAATTCGCATCGCAAATAATTTAGCCTGCCTGCCAGAAGGTTATCTACCAATCTAAATGTGTCGGGGTTATAATAGCTAGTTAATGTTGGATTTTTCTTACCCGAAAAAAACTGCGGGGGCGGGTTTCTTCCACACAAATTCTTCAACATTACAATCTATTTATGACATTCATAAATGTAGGGAGGCACAGCTCTTGAATTCAGGCAGCAGTTATATGTTCATTCTTTTCCCACTTTTTTCAACTGCCCCTGTAAAAATTGTGGCATGTGTTCATATACAAAAGGTCCATAGCGTATAGTTCTATAGGTGTGTGGCCCGTGACTATGTGGTTTTTTGCCAAGTGTTTCAAGGATTTGCTGGAATCTTTTGTAAGTGTTGTTCCGCTCCCCACTTATAGCAAATCGGCTTACGCAAACAGCTTGAGCTTCTTTAAAGCCTGGTTTCCATATCGCTTGAGAATCGCAGAGACGCAAATTGGAAACATGTCAAACGGAAGTGTCGCCAAACACGCAGACCAGCCTCAGACGGATCGGCAAAGCTGAGCCCGGTTCGACTTTGCC